CACTTGACATTTACTAGCTGTGTGACTCTGGGCAAGTCACTTAACCCCATTGCCTAACATCCCTCCAAAAAAAATTGACTTATTTGGCCCTAAGATCTCTGTTGACCTTCAGTCTTGTATCTTTAGTTGCCCAATGTACATCTCAAATTGATGTCTTGTGGACACCTTAATCTTAATATTTTCAAAACTGAACTCATTATCTTTTTGCCACAAACCCTTCCCATCTTCCAAACTTCCTTATTACTGCAACACAATCTTCCCAGTACCCCAGACTCACAACCTCTGTGTCATCCTTGACTCCTCACTCTCTCACCTTCCCTTATCTAATCTATTATCAAGGACTATCAATTTTACATTCATATTATTTCTTACATATCCCTTCTCTCCTATGACATTGCCACTGCATTGGTACAGCCCCTTAATCACTTTAACCCTAGATTTTTGCAACAGCCTATTGGTTGGTCTTCCTGGGCCATTTTTCCCTAATGTAACCCATCCTCCATTCAGCTCTTAGTGATCTTCCTGAGATGATCAGGTTTGACCATGTCAACCTTACCTTCCCTCATCTCCTCTCCATCTCCATTCAATAAACTCTAGTGGCTTCTGACCTTCAAAAACAAATATAAAATCTTCTGTTTGGCATCAGAGCCCTTCATAACCTTTCCTGACACCTTTCTATCTTCTTACTCATTACATGCCTCATGTTCTCTTCAATCCAGTGACAATGGCCTCCTTGCTTTTCCTCAAACAAGAAACTCCATCTCTACACTCTGGGCATTTTCACTGGCTATTTCCCATGTCTGGAATGCTCTCTTTCCTCATCTATACCTCCTGGCATCATCTCCTTCAAGTCCCAGCTAAAACCCCACCTTCTAAAGGAAATCTTTCCCAAACTCTCTAATTCTATTGCATCTCCTCTACTGATTATTTTCAATTTAACCTGTATATAGTTTGTTTTTTCATAGTTGTTTATAGGTTGCCTCCCCCACTAGATTATGGGCTCAAAGGCACGGACTGTCCTTTATCTGTCTTTACCTCCCTAGTGCTTAGCATTGTGCTTGACACATAATAAACTCTCTAGATTCCAAAGGAAATAGCCCAGGACACTTGAACCCAAGAGTCTCAGGACTGGCAATACTTCAAGCCCAGTGCCAATATGCCTTATCTTTGAAAGCAGCCACTGGCAAACTCCGCCTACAGGTGCTAAAGCTACTAAAGGCTTGGGGAAAAAACAAAATTCTTGTCACCAAAGAACTTGGTACTGTCAAGCAGTTTAATATCAGCCACTGATATGATTGATTGAGGGAAATGAGATTAAAGAAGAAGAACTAAAATATACTTTGCCACTGTACCCTAAGGATCAAGAGACCTTTCTATCTGACTTAGCTGAATCTTTTCAGGTGTGTTATCTGACCCCACAGGAATTTGAGTTATCTGGAAGCAGGGGTGCTTAACATGATGTTTTACAGAAAGTAAGCCCTTAATAAATGCTTCATTCATTCATCTATTCATTCATTATTGACAATGCTAAAATCTTAGTGGAATATGTGGCTTCTTTATTAGTTATCACTAACCCTAGCCTTGTGACAAAACCATCTTCTTTTTCCATCATACATTTTTTTAATGAGTTAATTATTTTGTTTCAGGTTTAAAATGAAGTCAGTTTTATGAGAAAGAATTTTAAACTGAAGTTTATCCAATATAAAATGCTGTTCTGCTACACATACGAGGTCAGTTCATCAAAGCCATACTTGTTACCTTAAAATTCAGTAAGACTTCAATTTTCCCATCAATTTTTACTTATTCCATATTTCTATTCCAGTTTTAGTTTTATAATTCATAAATAAAACTCTTTCCAGCCTTCTTAAAATTAGGCCAACCTATGCCCCTCAGATGCTTACAATTTATTGCTTCTGCCTGTTTTTCAGAAAGCTTTTTCATATTTTCCATTGACATAGTTTATCATAAAAGGCACATTTCAATACAATACCTGAATCAAGGGCAATTTATTCTTTCCATACACAATCTGTATACTCAGGTGTCATACTGCAGCTGTAGAACTTGTAACATTACTTTTATGTGTTGTAGAAGAGAAGGAAATGACATAGTTCTTAAGAAAGAGAACAGTAAATAGCCTAGCTCACCCTTCAGAACTCTACAATTCTTGCAATCTTCTTCATTGGAGACCACTTGTTCTCTAATGTTTCCCAACCCACAGGGCCAAGAAGAATGAGCGGACTCCTTGACCCACTCCATTTACAATTACGCTACCACTATCAAACAATAACTTTTCCTCTTCTGAAGCATATGAAAATCATTTGCACTAATTTCATTCAATTCTTGTTGGTGTTATTTTTTGCCCCAAAGGTCACTCTCTCAAATTTCTCAGTGACTTGTACCTGACACATTATATTCTTCTTTATCCATCCTCAAGGACTTCAGTATTTATGTTGACAATCATGACAACAAACATATTCCCTTAAAGTCTGACAACCTGATCCTCCCCACTTCAACCACATTTTAGCATGTATAAACCTATTTCTCAAAACTGACCCAACTCTAAGATCTATAATAATGATATAGTTCTAGACCACAAGCTTTAGTGCTGATACTCTCATTGCCACTAAATTCATTTTCCATTTTTATTGTGTCCTCTCATTCTTCTTGATTTTCATTCTTACAGTTTATCTCCCTCACTTTTGCCTCCAAATCTAGCACTGACCGCTTTAACATTTCACTAGTTACTATCTTAAAATTACAGAATGTCAAAACTGGAAAAGACCACAGATATAATATAGTTCAAAACTTACCTACACTGAGATCTCCTCCAGTTATTATGACAAATGGTTATACAGCCTTTGCTTGAGTCTTTGAGTGATAAAGAAGTCTCTACATCTTTCAAATATCTGAAGATACATATCATGGCTTCCCCCTTCCTAACTTTAAATCTTCTCCCAAGATCAAACAACTGTTCATCTAATTTGTCCTCTTATAGCATTTGTCCTCTAGTATCTTAATTATCCTAGTTAATCTCCTCTGGACGTTCTTTAATTTGTTAATACTTCCTAAAACTTTGTGCCCCAAACTGTTCACTGTACTCTAGCTCTAGTCTGATCATGGAAGAGTACAGTGAAACTATCAGCTCTTTCATCCTGACACTAGAAGTCCCTAGTACAGTGGCATCAAACTCAAATATAAACAGGGCAACCAAACCATATACAAGGATCCTGGCTGGCTGTATACTGACTTACAAAACTACATATTAACATTATGTATATTCTATTGCATTTTTATTTTTAAAATATTTCCTAATCAAATTTGAATCTGATTCAAATTTTTGGATGCCTCTGACCTAGTAAAATCTAAGGTCAACATTAACTTTGTTCATTGTCATGTCATATTGTTGATTTGTATTAAGCCTTCAGGCTACCAAAATCAAAAATTTTTCAAATGAACTGAACTACTGTGCTTCCTACCTCTCCTATCTCATACTTGTGAAATTTATTTTTTTAACCCTAAGATAAGACTTTGCATTAGCCCTGTTAAATTTTGTCTTCAGATATTCAGTCCCACAATCTAGCTTGCTAAAAAATTTTTTTTTCACATTTTTACTCTGTCATTCAGTGGATTGGTTACTTCTCACAGTTTCATTTTATTTCCAATTTTGAAAAAACAATGGGCCATTTGTGTTTTCATTTAAGTCACTGATAAGGAATGTTCAAAAGCTTGGAGCCAAAATTAGAATTGTAGCATACTCCACTAGAGATTTCACTCCAGGTTGACACTGAGTGAGCTACACTGGGCTATGGGTCCAATGTTAGTCTTGACACAAGCCCATCCCTGGACCAGGAGAGTCTGGGAGCAGAGCAAGGAAGAACTGTCTGAAAGAAGGGAGCAGCTAAGGCTTAACCACACCCCCCCCAAACCCTAGGGCATGGGATCATGCTGCCAAGCCCAAGGCAAGAAGAAGCCGTCCTCTAAAATAAGAGTGTGGGTGGCATTCAGATACTCTGAGAAGCTATAGGAAGCCCCAGGATAGTCAAAAAACATTTGAGGGCACAGACAGGTACAGAGCTAGTATTGCTGACAGTTGCAATCCAGCCTGGGTCAGGCCCTCCTCTTGCCTTCTAAGTAGTCCAAGACCAGAGTGCATTGGCTAGGGTTGGCAGATATGCTACCAAGGGTGGGGAAAATACAGGCCACATGTATCCAGATCCTTGGGTGCAGCCTTTTGACTGAGTCCAAGTTTTAAGCACAAATCCTTTTATTAAGGGAATTTGCTCTGTAAAGTTTGGATTCAATCAAAGGGCCACACTTGAGGCCCTAGACAGCCACATGTGGCCTTGAGGATGCAGGTTCCCCACCCTTGCAACTAGCCCAATGCTGCTGCTAGCTCCTGAGCTGCACCACTTTGCGAACAGCCCCAGGCCCCCTACTCTAAGGAGCTCAACTCATCAGAGGCCAGACAGCAAGGATGATAAGGAAGAGGTCAATGAAGATTAAAAAAAGGAAAGAAAGGAGAAAGAGGTGGAGGGGAAGGAAAATGAGGTGGAAAAAGAGAGAAGGTGCAAATGAAGGAGGAGGAAGAGAGGAAAGGGGCAGAGGTTTAGAAGGAAGGGGGGAAAGAGAAAAAGGAGGGAAAGAAGACAAGGGGAAAGGTGAGGAGGGTAAGACAAAGAGGTCAGGAAGATGTCTAGGAACTGTAGATACTGGAGGCCTTTTGTGAGGGACGAAGATGCTCTACCCCAGCTACCTGCGATCCAGATCCAGAGAGCCCTGGTGGTGGGCGCCTTATTAATGAGGCACCCGGTCCCTTGTAACGCGTGATCCAGGCTACCCAACACTGTGCCAAGGCTCTGATGTCTCTGCTTGTAAGGGGCTTCGAGCAAAGAAAAGGCACAGGTCAGAGAAGGAAAATGAGCTATCTTCCTCTCTGACCTGGACTGCCACCTGAGCAAGGTCAAGGGCGCCTGGGTGTCCTGGGATCTACCCCTACCTACCAAATTTCGACAGCAGAAACTTCCCGGAGAAGAGGTGGAAATCCTGCCCCATTCCTGATGGCTACCGGCGGGGCTCTGGCAAGTCCCTCATGGCCCATCCTTGGGGAGAATGGGTCACTCTCAGTTCCTGTAACTGATCCAGCTTTGCCTCTTCATTCAAATCCTCTTCCTTTTCCTGCTCCTCCCTCCACGGTGAATAGGGGTGGGGAGAGAAAAGAGAACTATCTAATCAAAGTCCTAGCGTTGCTCACTGATCCTGCCTTCAACTTGTGCCGGCCAATCCTAATCTCCCTTTTCCAAGGACTCTGGCTTTACAGAGAAAGACCAATCAACTCCCTACAGAGCAACAACCTTAGACTAGCCCTGGCCAATCAGGTCTTAGTCCCTTCTCAGGGAGCATGCCTTCTGCTTCTGCAGAAGCCAATCGATACCTGAGCTGCCCAGTAGCTTGTCTCTGTGGAAGAAGTTCACCCTTCCTGATGCTACAACCATACTAGTCCTGCACCAACCTACTTCGGGGATGGTCCGATTGCATTAGTATTTGCCCAAATGAAGCCCCACCATTGGCCAGTCCCTGGAAAGGGTTCAGCCAATCAGCTGTACCTTTGAAGCATGTCCCCCCCCCCCCCGCCGCGAATGTCTTAAAGGGCTTCCCCTGGCCAGTGGAGGTGAAGAGGCAGAGATTGCCAGAGAGTAAAGTGGGTTTCCCATCTCCATTTCTACCTAACCTCCTTTTGCTTTATTTTTTAATTTAGGGACATTTACTCATCTACAAACTGTTATAATTTGTATTCACTGCTCTGCTTGTTTTATACTTATTGTCCTTAATTATAGTGCGATATCGCACATGCAAGTTAAATCTGTAATGCTCTGGAATCTTCTCAGAGTCGCCATGCATCTTTCCACTGCCATTAATCAGCAATTTTTATTTTCATGTGAACCCAACCTTTCATAATACACTTATATGGCTAATAAAACTGGGACATTATTTGGCAAAAAAAAACCCAGAAAAAGGGGGATTTTTGCAGTTTGAGAAGAGTTTGGAATCCCTGCCGCTGTTCAGCTAATTTTAAACTTTGCTGCAACAGTCTCTTCCTGAGTCCAGCTCATTTTTCAAGAGTAGAAAGAGTAGACAGATTCATGGATACCACGCAGCTCATCCAATTGTTATTTCACATATCTTAATTGGGACAATATTCTGTTCTTTATCCACTTAATTTTTTGTTGTAGTTTTTCATTTGGGTTTACTAGGGTGATGTCTCTTTAAAATTTAAATAAATCTTATTAATTTTGTTAGTTTAATAGTCTACATTCATCTATGGACATTTAAAAAACATATTAAAATATCCGTATACTTTGTAGGTGTGTGGTTTTTTTTTTTAGCACAGATGAATGTTGTGCTTTGTTAAAAATGTTTTTTTCTTTAAATGTCTTAATATAATCATATAATTCAAATATTTAATACCAATCATTTTCCTAATGGCAAACATCTTTATATCCCCAATATAAATCTAACTTAATCATGGTAAATTATTTTATGTTAAATTGCTGTAGTCAGTCAGTCAAAAAGAAATTATTACTCATGACATCTGAGGCAATGTGGTAAGCAGTGGTTATACAAATACAAACAGTTCTTGCTTTAAGTCAGTGGAACATTCTGCAGAGCTCTACTAAAACATATATATATATATATATATATATATATATATATATATATATGAATTTCCTATGCATGTGGAGAAGCGAGGGGGCCTAGTAGGGAGGAAGGGGACCATGAGCCTGTGAAGAAGGATGCTGGCACACTGTTTAAGGTCTCATGGAGGCCAGGGACATAGAAGAGAACAGGAAGAACACACAGCATGGTGCCAGCCACATGCAGGCCTGGCCTGAACTGAGAGGAAGAACAGGAGAGGGGCTGACACATGGAAGGGACAGAAGACAGGCAGGTGAGTGGATGGAGAGCAAAGGTCTCCTCCCAAGCCAAACCCTTGATCCAGTTGCTTAGGTGGCCATCTCTTCACAGCTGTTCTTTTGCTTTCATTTTGAGGATATTTTTTAAGAGTGTATATATATACATACATACATACATATATATATATATATACACACAGTCATATATATATATGAGTGTATACACATATATATATACACACACAATATATATACATATAATGGAATGTAGATTCTTTCAGAATTCTTTATATAAAAGTTGAATTTGCTCAATGTGAATTTATATAATGTAAGAACTATTTGTGAAGGCAAAAACACAGTCCTTGCCTTCAAGGAGCTCACATTCTAATGGGAAACACAATATACAAACTACTGTATATAAACAAAATATTTACAGGTAACTATCCCAACCACTCAGTTCTTCAACCTATATGCTCCCCATGTGTGTGTGTGTGTGTGTGTGTGTGTGTGTGTATACCCCTCTATGCCACCTCAGCCACACACAAAGATGATTCTATTCTTGATCTTGTCATCACCCATAAATGTACCACCTCTATGTTCAAAAATTCTGAAATCCTTGTATTTGGCCATAATCTATTGGCGTTTTATCTTTTTCTCTGCCTTTCCTTAAAAAAAAATCTTACTTTTTGTGCTGCCCCATGATCTCCAGTCCCTTGCTCCTTCAATTCTTGCCACTCTTCCTCTTCTCTCCATTTTGACCCTTTAGTGAATCAATTCAACTCTATACTGTCTTTCTGTCTTGAATCCCTGATTCCCTTATCATATCCCTGATTATACCCAGCCTTGGATCACCCCCACCATTCACCATCTTTATTCCCACACACATGCTGCTGAATGAAGATGGGGAAAATCACTCAAATAGGCTGACTAGATCCACCACAATTTATGTTACACCACTTCAACTTGGCCTTTAATGCTGTTACGCAATGCTACTATACCTCCATTATCAACCCACTATTCCTCCTTTCCACAGTGGTTCTTCCAAACCTTTTCATCCCTCTTCAAATCTCCTTTGGTTCCCCTTCCCACTACTCTCTTAACTAAGAACCTTGCCTCTTATTTTACAGGGAAAAAATTAGGCTGTTTGCTGTGAACTCCCTATTTTCTCATCTTCCTCATTTTCTGTCATTCAGATGGCTTATGCCATTATTTCCTCCTTTTCCTCTCTCTCACATTATTAAATGTTCTTACTCCTTTCTAAGGCTAATTACTCTCTACTTGTTCAAATGATCCCATTCTACCCTGTCTTCCAATAGATTTCCCTCTCCATCATCTCCATTTTTTCACTTATTAAGAGAATATAAAAGCAAATCAACAAAATAGCAAAGAAAAAAGAGGAAATATTTCCTAGTTTTCATCTTACCTATCCAAGAACTGTCTTTATCTATTTTGCTAGGTCCTCTTCCAGATTACATCTTCTAACCATAGGTGCCCTTCAAGGTTTTGTCCTGGGCCTTCTTTTCCTCTCCCTCTACACTATTTCACTTATGGATCTCATCAGTTCCTATGGATTTAATTGCCTTCACTATGCTTATGATTCTCAAATCTACTTAACCTGTCCTAGACTGTATATTAACCTCCAATCTTGCATCTCCAACCGACTTTCAGACAGCTAGAATTGGATGTCCAATAATCATCTTAAACTCAATATCTTTATCTTTCCTTCAAAAGCCTCCTGTCCTCCTACCTTCCCTGTTACTGTAGAGGGCAACACCATCCTCTCAATTTCACAGGCTTGCAACCCAGGGTTTATCCTGGATTCCTCACTATCTCTGACTGCCTCCTGCCCACCCTCCTCTACCCAATATCAAATCTCTTTGCAAGGCCTGTTGATTTCACCTTCGCAACATATCTCAAGTATACTTCATTCTCTCCTCTGACACTATTAACACCATAATGCAGGCCCTCATGCCTTCATGCCTGAATTATTGCAATAAACTATTGGTGGATCTGCCTCCCTCAAGTCTCTTCCCACTCCGGTTCATCTTCTGTTCATCCACTAAAGTGATTTTCCTAAAGCACAGGTCTGATCTTGTCATCTCCCTGCTTGATAAACTCCAGTGACTCCTTATTGCCTCCTGGAGCCAGTACAAAATGCTCTGTTTTGCATTCAAATTCCTTTATTATCTACCCCTTCCTATTGTTCCAGTCCTTACAAATTACTCCCCCACATATACTCTTCAGTCTAGTGAAAGTGGCCTCTTGACTGTTCCATGAACAAGATACTCCATTTCTCCCCTCTGGGAATTTTCTTTGGCTGTCCTCCAGGCCTAGAATAAACTCCATCCTACACTTCAACCACTGGCCTCCCTGGTTCCTTTAAATCCCAACTAAAACTCCACTTTCTACAGGAAAATTTTCCCAACCCCTCTTAATTACAGTGTTTTTCCTCTGTTAATTATTTCCTGCTTATTCTATATATTGTTGCTTTGTATATATTTACTTGCATGTTATTTCCTTTATTAGATTGTGAGCTCCTTGAAGGTAGGAACTGTCTTTTGCCTGTTTTTTGTAACCCCAGAGCTTAGTATTGTGACTGGCACATAGTAAGCACTTAATAAATGTTTGATTGATTTTATGTTTCATTCTGGAGGTAATGGGGAGCCACTGGAGTTCATTAAATTGGGGAAAGACAGAGTGACATGGTTAAAATTAGGCTTTAGGAAGATAAATTTTACAGTTGAAGGGAGGATTAATTGGAGCAGGGAAGGACTTGAGAGGAGATCAAACAGAAGGTTATTGCAATAGTCTAAATGTAAGGTAATGAGGTCTTCTAGAGAGAGTACTGTGTTAATGGAAAGAGGATTTATATGATATATACGTTGGAGATCAAAACAGCGATACTTAAAAAGTATTGGATATGTGAAATGAGTGTGAGTGAGGAGTAAAAGATGATACAGTAGTTGTGGGCCTGGGTGATTAGGAGGATGGTAGTGCCTGGATGCTTACCAGGAAGGAGAATAGGGAATAAGGCAGTTCAGAAAACAGGGGCATTCAGAGACAAAGATAGTAAATTTACTTCTGAACATATAGAATTTAAGATGTCAATGGGACATTTAATTGAAGATGTCTAGTAGGCAGTGGTATTGGGAGTCTGAAGAGAAAATTTCAGTCATGGATTCAAGTATTTTCTAATCTATTTAATAAACTTAAATTTTTATATACCACATTGAAAAATCTAAATTCTGACAAATATTTATTCCTGATTTATTTTATTATGGGTTTTAAATAATTTTGGAGTTTCTTTTTTTTTTTAATGGTTGTCTCATGCTGTCTTTAGAGTCC